CTTCGGGGAGGGCAGTGGCATGGCCAGGGGGGCGTGGCCAGCTTGACATCACTTGTGTCAGGGGCGCCTGTGGTGGCGCCCTGCCTGAGTGCTCTGCTAGCGAAAACGGGCTCCCAATCTCCATTTTCGGCTGGGATGGCCTCTTGTAACCCTGTGCCAGCAAAAACGGAACTCAATTTTTGCTGGCAGAGCCCACGCAGGCTAGTCCTTCACTGAGCCAAGGCGGCGCAGTGGTTAAATGCAGCATTGCAGGCTACTTCAGCTGACTGCAGTTCAGCAGTTCGGCTGTTCAAATCCCACCAGGCTCAAGGTTGACTGGACAGATTCTTGTACTGTGGGTGGAGCACAATAAAATACACTTGTACCTTCCATGTCCAGAATTGGTTGCTTATCACTGACAGCTGGCACATTAGAAGGTGTGTGTGTGTGTGTGTGTGTGTGTTAGAGTTGCAATCACTGTCCTAAAAACACATGCCAGTTTTCTTTTTAAGGAATACCATACTTTTTGGACTATAAAACATACTTTTTTGTCTCCCAAAAGGGGGTGAAAATGTCTGTGTGTCTTATAGACTGAATATTGCTGAAGCCCCATCCACCTGCCAGCTATTTTGTGGCCTCCCATGGCCCTTTTTCAGGCCTTTTTTTGGGGCTGTTTTTGAGGCTTTTTTGGCACTTTTTCAAGGCTTTTTTCGTCCATTTTTCCAAAACAGGCCAATAAATCCTAAAAAACAGGCTAAGAAAAGCTTCAAAAATGGGCCAAGAAAAGCCTCAAAAACGGGGCAAAGAAAACCCTCAAAATGTGCCAACCCCCCACCCCAAACAGGCCAAAAACCCTAAAAAATGGGTAGAAAAAAGGCTGGAAAATGGCCAAAAAAGGTCCCCAAAAAGGGATGAAAATGAGGCACGCGTCTTATAGTCAGGTGCATTTTATAATCCAAAAAATACGGTATGTTTTAAAAAGACAACACAATTCTTTTCTTCCTTCCTACGATTACTGTTGACTTTCTTGCCTAATTTCCACTAATCATTTAACAGAGATCCCAACTGAACCAAAGAAAACCCCCACATGGATGTACAGTACAGGGAATTCCCCCCATGAATTCCCCCCAGTTTGAAGTGTAGGGCAAGCCACCATGACATACTTACACTCTTGGGCAGGTTGCACGTTTTGGAATCCACATTGTAACTGGAAAAACATAAGGAAAAAAATGCATTATCCTTTGGCCTTTCGGTGCTTCCCAAAATTTAGCTGCTGCCCGAGACAGGAGCAACAAGGTCTAGTATCTGTACAGGAGATGAGCCAAGAAAAACAATGATAATAAAAGAAAACAAGGAAGGAAGGGGAAGGTATGGGAAGAAGGGGAAAAGAGCAGAAGAAACTCACACATCGAAACGCAGGTTCTGCTTTTCCTCGAAATAATAGTCAAGTACAAACTTGCGGACAAAGTCAGGGTTGAGTGTGTTATCAATCACCTCTGTGCGGCCAAACTGGGGAGTAGAAAGGCAAAGGCAGGCGGTTAAGAAGGAAACGGCTCCTTATCTATACCCCCCATTGGCAGGCTAGGTAAACCCCACAGTTAGACAATCGGCCACCACAGTCAGAAGAGGCTGGGAAATGGAGAGGGATAGTTTATAGTTATAGTTTATAGTTTTATTGATTTGTATGCCGCCCACTCCCGAAGGACTCCGGGCGGCTTACAATAAAACAAGGGAGGGGGAATAATACACAAACAACATTAAAATATACAACAATCACAATCTCTTTCTATTCATAGAAAGAATTTTAAATCAGAGGAAATAGTCTTCAGAAATATTAATATATATTAGCATAACTTTTCACTTTTGTTAGTTGAAAATGGGGAAAAAAGACTTGGTATACAAAATGGGGAAAAAAGGGAAAAATAATCTGGTATACAATAGTAATTTTTTGCACAACCTAAATCTACGATTCTTCAAAAACAAACATAAGCACGGTTAGATGTTAATTATATTTTTGCCTTAAGTATAGTAGCTTTGAAAGCATCAATGCAGCCTCTTTTTCACCCTCTGA